AATTCCCCTGTTCTCGCTGCTCGTGGCTCTCCTCTTCTTTTCTATGTACGATTTTTGCAAGATGACGATTTCCCCCCATTGGAACGCATTAAATAGATTTCAGTGAATTCCAATGGGGAACTCCGTTTCACAAGACGACGTTTTCGCAAGACAGCAATTTTCGTGGAACGAATTAACATCGTCTTGCAGGGCACCACTGTACTCTGATGGAAGCTCTTTCAACATTCTATGCATTTATATGGTTTCTCCCGTGTGTGTATTTTGATGTGTATTAAGGTGACCACTCTGAGTGAAGCTCTTTAATAATTCAATGCATTTATATGGCTTCTCCCGTTTGTGTTTTTTTTGATGTGCATTAAGGTGAGTACTCTGAGTGAAGCTCTTTCCACATTCCATGCATTTATATGGTTTCTCCCCTGTGTGTGTTTTTTCATGTGAACTGAGGCCAGTGCTACGAGTAAAACTCTTTCCACATTCCATGCATTTATATGATTTCTCCCCTGTGTGAATTTTTTGATGTGCATTAAGGTTACCACTCTGACTGAAGCTCTTTCCACATTCCATGCATTTATATGGTTTTTCCCCTGTATGTGTTTTTTCATGTGAACTGAGGCCACTGCTGTCAGTGAAACTCTTTCCACATTCCATGCATTTATATGATTTCTCCCCTGTGTGAATTTTTTTATGTGCATTAAGGTTACCACTCTGACTGAAGCTCTTTCCACATTCCATGCATTTATATGGTTTTTCCCCTGTGTGTGTTTTTTCATGTGAACTGAGGCCACTGCTGTGAGTGAAACTCTTTCCACATTCCATGCATTTATATGGTTTCTCCCCAATGTGAGTTCTTTGATGTGAACTCAGGTGACTGCTCTGACTGAAGCTCTTTCCACATTCCATGCATTTATATGGTTTTTCCCCTGTATGTGTTTTTTCATGTGAACTGAGGCCACTTCTGTCAGTGAAACTCTTTCCACATTCTATGCATTTATATGGTTTCTCCCCTGTGTGAATTTTTTGATGTGCATTAGGGTTACCACTCTGACTGAAGCTCTTTCCATACTGCAAGCATTGATGTGGTTCTTCCCCTGTGTGTATTTTTTCATGTGCATTTAGGTGATGACTCTGATGGAAGCGCTTTCCACATTCCATGCATATATGTGGTTTCTCCCCTGTGTGGTTGTTTTTATGTGAACTGTGGGTTCTGCTTTTACTGAAGCTCTTCCCACATTCCAAGCATTGATATGAGTTCTTCTGAGAATGGGTTATTTCATGTGAACTTTGGTGACTGCTGTGGCTGGAGCTCTTTCCACATGGCATGCAATTATATTCCTTCTCTCCACTCATGATTTTTTCATGTATAATATATTCTTTGTTTACAGCCATGCTTTTTCCATGTTCCATGCATTCAACTGTTTTCATGTTCTTGGTGAACTTTCCTATCTCTATTGGTATTTCAGGTATACCTGAATGTTTTTCTGCAGAGAGGACCCTTTCTCCTTCCTCGAGTTTCATGGCTTTTTCGCTGGAAATTTCTTTTCCGCTCTTGTTGTCTCCCTCCCCTTCTGCCTTTTTTCTCCTTTTTTGTCTTTTCTTGTCCTTTCTTGTCTTTTCTTTTTTACCATGTGCTTCTTTTTGGTTACAGAAGTGCTTGCCACGTAGAATATTGGTTCACTCGTTTGATACCTGAAGGAGGAAAAAAAAGACTGGGAGCACAGCACAGAACGATCAAGCAAAGTTATTGGCTTTCTCTTTGACTGTCAGGAGGAACGGACAAACCCCAGAGCTTCACCAAGGAGCAGAAAAATGAAAATGTAAAGATCCTTGTGACGTAATTCCTTTTGATTTTTGAACTATGAAAACCCTTTGCTTACTGAAAATCAAACTTTTTAATTGCTAAAATGTTTTAAATATGGAATTAACTTTCCTTACCATTTCTATGTTATAACCATGTTAGTCTCCAAGATGGGAATAGAAAAGCATATATGAAATATTTCAGCTTCACATTGATGTATAAAGACCAATTAATGAGGGCAGAATAACTTTGTTTCCAAGTAGAAATGAAAAGGAATTAGGAAATATTCTGGAAAAGGCCTGGAAACACTTGGCTGAGATTGCATAAAATAAATGTTCAGGTTTAACAGTCCTTGCTAGGAAAACTAATACTGAAACATCCTCAAATCCTCCACATTCCAGGTGACAGGCAGGGAGTAATGCAAAAATATGAAATTTCACATGTATAGGGCATCTGGGAAAATCAGCCCAGTGGAAATGTGTTGAAAAACTCATGCTTCAAAGAGTGAGCTCTCCATCCAACTCTGGCAACAAGGTCACAGGGGAGAATAACCTTGCCACAGCTGATAATTCAGGGTGGAGTCAAGAAAGAAGAGAATTCAAAAAGTATTGAATATACTTATGTTGCATGTGTTAATCTGACATTACAAAAATGGAACTGGCTAGCTTGGGAGGTAGTGAAGGCTCCAGTCCTGGAGGCATTGACGAGAATGCCTGACAATCACCTGTCAGATACACTCTGAAAGGTGGGATTGGTGTACTGAGCAGGGGTTTTGGACTTAGAATCATAGAATCTCAGAGTTGGAAGAGACCGCAGGGGCCATCGAGTCCAACTCCCTGCCATGCCGGAACTCCATCAAAGCACTCCCGACTGATGGCCATCCAGCCTCTGCTTAAAAATCTACAAAGAAGGAGACTCCACCAAATTCCCAGGCAGCCTCTTCCACTTCCGACCAGCTCTGACTGTCAGGAAGTTCTTCCAGAGATTCAGGTGGAATCTCTTTTCCTGGAGTTCGAAGCCATTGCTCCTTTTCCTAGGGTCTGGAGCCGTGGAAAACAAACCTGTCCCTTCCTTGACATGACATCCCTTCAAATATTTAAACATGGCTATCATGTCTTCCCCCCCCCCACGGTTTGCTGCCTTGTCGTGATGAAGGGGCCGGAGTAATTCAGAGGAACTATGCTCTATGTCGTGCAGGAACACCCAAGACAGAAAGGTCATAGTGGAGAGTTCTGACTAAACGAGATCCACTTGGAGCAGAAACTGGCAAGCCACTCCAGTATCTATGCCAAGTGTAGTGTTCCCCATTTATTAGGTCAATGGTTCATGTTTTGTTATGTAATGGTTCGTGCATATTTCTGTTACTGAGAGGCGGAGCCAAGAGAGATGCTATAAGAGGTGGAGTCGGAGAGTCAGAGTCAGTCAGTAAGAGTAACAGAGTCAGTAAGAGTGGAGTGTGAGAGAAGGGGATAGAGTGTGGAGTTTGGGGAATTCTGAGGCATGATGTAATCAAGGAGTGTACTATCAGGTGAAAGATTGATGTTAATAAATCTTCTTATTAATGAAGACATCCATGAATCACTATCAATAACTGTAATCAATAAACAAAAGTTCTATTTAAAAGACCTTGAAGTGTGGACCTGAATCTTCCTGAAGTAATGGTGATTTAGTGATCACCTGGTGGCAGCAGTGTAATACAGGGGATTGTTTGCCTTCGTGTGCTCTGAGTTTTGAAGCTCAAAGAAAGGGGCATGAGGGTGAACGCCATACTAAGATACTCCACGGACAGAAACAAAAGGCTAAAAGATATGACACTGGAAGATTAGTCTCTCAGGTCAGAAGGCGTCCATCATACTACTGTGGAAGAGCGGAGGATGAGTACAAGTAGCTCCAGAGCTAATGAAGTGGTTGGGCCAAAGCCGGTCACGCCCCATATTCCCACGAGAGCTACAGAAATGCTTTGGCTACCAGGAATGTTTCTCCTTAGCAACTAGATAAGAGATAGCCGCGGTGGCTCATCTCAGAAACTACACAGAAATCCTAATTTAAAATGGATTCTATTGAGACAGGCTTACCCATAAAAACACATCTCATCACATCTGGAATGTAAGATCTATGAACCTTGGGAAGCTGGATGTGGCCAAAGAGAAGATGGCAAGAATAAACATTGACATCCTGGGCATAACTGAACTAAAATGGACAGGAATGGGCGAATTCAATTCAGGCAATTACCATATCGACTATTGTGGGCAAGAATCCTGTAGAAGAAATGGAGCAGCCCTCATAGTCAACAAAAGAGTGGGAAAATCTGTACTGGGATATAATCTCAAAAATGACAGAATGATTTCAATAAGAATCAAAGGGAGACCTTTCAACATCACAGTCATCGAAGTTCATGCACCAACCACCAATGCTGAAGAGGCTGAAATTGACCAATTATATGAAGACTTACAACACCTTCTAGAAGTGACACCAAAGAAAGATCTTCTTATTATAGGGGACTGGAACACTAAAATAGGGGGTCAAGAGATAAAACAGGGAAGTTTGGCCTTGGAATTCAAAACAAAGCAGGACAAAGGCTAATAGACTTTTGTCAAGAGAACAAGCTGGTCATCACAAACACTATTTTCCAACAACACAGGAGGAGACTCTACACATGGGCATCACCATACTGGCAATACCGAAATCAGATCAATTATATTCTCTGCAGCCAAAGATGGAGAAGCTCTGTACAGTCAGCAAAAACAAGACCTGGAACTGATTGTGGCTTTGATCATCAGCTTCTTGTAGCAAAATTCAAGTTGAAACTGAAGAAATAAACACCACTGAGCTAGTTGGTATAAACTAAACCAAATCCCTTATCAGTACACAGTGGAAGTGAAGAACAGATTTAATGAACTAGATTTGGTGGAGAGAAGCAAAGAACTGGATATGGAAGAACCTATTAGTTCAAAATTGGGAAAGTACGACAAGGCTGTACTGTATATTGTCCCCCTGTTTATTTAACTTATATGCAGAATACATCATGCAAAAGGCAGGACTGGAGGAATCCCAAGCCAGAATTAAGATTGCTGGAAAAAATATCAACAACCTCTGATATGTAGATGATACCAGTCTGATGGCAGAAAGTGATGAGGAACTAAAGAACCTTGTAATGAGGGTGAAAGAGGAGAGTGCAAAAACGGTCTGAAACTCAACATAAAAAAAACTAAGATCATGGCCA